GTATGTTGTAATCGCACTGGAGAATTAGTGATACAAAACAACTGTTTTATCCTGTGAATAAAAGTATATGTTTTTGTCAATGTACCATAATAACAGAAGCGAAACGCAATATTGTGTCAGGACAATTCACTATTTATGCACAATAAACAAAGGAGCATAGCGCGACAATTTCTGTTCAGCGCCAGACTTGCTTGTAACCTATATCACCAATTATGTTAAGAAAAATGACGTATTAACTACTACAAAACTCTGACCTTTGTGGGAATGCTTGGAGCAGACTAACCTGTGAGCTGGAGTGTTCTGGGACGTTATATTTGGTATATCCAGACCATCCGTCGGCTCTTACTTCGGAAACATGGCTTAAATTTCTCTTCAACGATGTAATCCGATTAAAAAAAACGATCTCTTTACCCGTCGGCTTCCCGTGGCTGTCATGCAACCGGCAGTTAATAATACAACAGCTTCTTGCCATTTTTTGGGTTTCTTTTTATCGCTGTGTAACTGAGTTCGCTAGTACCTCTTGCCACAAGTTCCCAGAATCCTTTGCGGTTTTACCCCTGAATGACGTCACATTTTCAATCTTTATCCTGGTGGGCCGGTCTCTAGTCAAAATGCCCGGGCCGATTTTTTGTCCCAGTCCAGCCTTGGTGTGTGTGGTTGGAGGATGTGTTAGTGCGTGTGCGTGCGTGCGTGCGCGGGGGGGGGACATTTTTCTTGTAAAACAAAGGGGGGCCCAGCAAAAAAAGTTTGGGAACCACTGGCCTAGAGCAAGATGTACCTCCAGAGAAAAGTATACAGCCAAGTCCTGTCTTTTAGCACTCCAGTATACCGAAGATGAAACCACACCCACCTGTCACTGAAAAGCTGCTGTGTTCTTAATTATACATAACGTTAAGCCTCAATATAATTAAAAGGGGTGAATTGTGTAAATGTTCACTTTCCATACAGCTGCCATGAACAGGCAAATAATTAGCTGTAGAGACTGTAACAGGTTTTTTTTTAATAATAGGCTATAAACATGTGCTCTAAAAGTGGCCGTTCTAACACGTACTTTATGGTAATTGAGTCACATTTAGTGCCTCAAGTAGTCACTTGATGAAGTGTAGTTTTCAGCAATTGCATAGCAACTTAATTTTTCAGCCTCAGAGGTTTCTCATTTTATTATACTGCATTTTTTTAAATGGGAATCACTGACAGGTATTGCTTTAATTTTTGGGGGCTGGTACTGTGTTTCACTCAAGACAGCAAAGTCTTACACTAATCTTATTCTTGTTATAATATCGGTTTATTACAGTATATTTAACTTTATCAGTCCTGCTTAAAGGCTTTTATAAAAAAAAAAAAGTCCAATAGGTTTTTTTCACATTTTCATTCAGCTGTTGGACTGGATTCCACGCATTTACTCATTAACACACTATTACCAGTAAGCATGAGCAAAAGTTCTGGATTAAAAGTTTTAGTGTTGGCTTAATTCATCCAGCTATTTCTTGACAGGAATTAAAATACTGGAGGCAACTTGAAACCGAGGCTTGTTTTTTGGAAAGAAAACTACTGCCTTCAGTCATACAGCACGCCCACTCCCAGTGAAGCCCCCTCATCTTTGGAAGTCATTAGTTCGACAGGCAGGCGGCATTATGCTGATGGCGGTGAAATGATAATTAGAGTTGGAGATAGATTGAGTCAATATAAGTGTAATTAATTTTTAAGTGTGAGGTTTATTAGTAGAGAGGGGCCTGATAGAACTTCTTAAATAGTGCAACCAGATTAATAGCTCTAATAGCTTCTGGCAGTAGAATCTACTTTTATTTATTTGCTGCATTTGTTTGTATATTTAGGCCAACACTGGGTTGATCATTTGTGCTGACAAATGAGCTTTCTGTGTATTCATAAACCAAATGGAGACAAGCTGCTGCACAGATTACACACAGATATTACACTCACATACCCTATGTCTGTGACTTTAAATAGATTTTTTTTTCTGCCCATTAAGGCTCATCTTTTTAATCGTGTCATTAATTAAGCTTAGAAATACTTAATGAACTTGCTCAATTAAGTCTGCCCTCTTTTTTGGTTTAATCCTCGCTTTAAGCACTGACTGACTGTCCTCTCTCCCTGCACCCACCCTTTACATCTGTTTTGTGGAGGATATTTCTCTGCCAGCGCTCCTCAGACATCCTCTTCTCCTTTGTGTTGGTGCTTCACAGTGTGTACACTCGTTGAACAAAATACAGCCATTTCCGCTGCTAGCCTGCTTCTAGGAAAAGGCTGTAAGAATGTTGGGAACACATGCGCTCACATGAGAGATTTCCAAATCACTGCTAAATGAGGAGCAGTTACTTTAATTATTTTAGATTCTTCCTTGCGGACATGGTTTGCAGACCGATGACCTCTAGTGTTAGTGAAAAAATGATTCTCTTTTAAACTGTGTGATAGTGTTATACTAATATCAATCAGGAATTTACCCTGATATATACCAAGAATTAATTAGGCCAAGAATTAATTTTCAATCCACTGATCACTGTTTACAAATGCTGGTGGTTTATTATTTGAAAAAAAATCTAATAAAAGGCTAAAACATCTGATGATAGCTGTGATTGCATTCCAGCAAATAGCATCCTGGACCAAACTCAATATTTTTGAACTGAATCAGCTACACAAGATGAACACCAATGAATTCTCACATTGCCTCGCCACATAACCCCAGACCACAGTAGGCCATCTCATCAGTACTGACCTTTCATGGAAAACAACGCCATATTATCAGTAGAAGAACTGTAAAATCTAATAAGCTACCAGTATCTAAAACAAATGCAACCTCACTGCATTAGAAGAACTAACAACAGTTTACTTCAGATAGCTAAATCAGGCAACCTGTTCATTGTGAGTGCCAGTAAGCAGTACTAAATGAATTAGTTCAACTGGCGTTTATGGCATAATTAACAAATTCATTTAGTATGACTCGCTCTGAAAAATCAAGTCATTCAAAGTGCTGTGACCTCACAATGAACAAGCTGCCTTAACTGACGCAAACTTAAATGAAGGTAAAAAGTTTGCATATATCTTTAATAAGTGTCAGCAACTTATGACGTCTGTCAAGGAGGTTGTGTTTTTGTAGTCTTTGTGTGTCACTGGTAATCTGTAAATGCAATAGCTCAAAAAGTTTCAAAGGAAATTCTGATGAAACTTTGTAGGGGTGTAGAGTGGGGTCATATTAGTAAATCTATTAAAATTTGACATGCATCCATCAAGGTCTTCAGGGTCAACTTAAAAAGCCTTATAACTTGTATGTGTTGCCAACATATAGAAAGAACCAATGTAAAGATTTTAAATATGTCAAATTTGACCTCTGACCTTTCCTTCAAGGTAAATACATGATCTTAAGGCCAACAATAATATAATAATAATCTTATATATAATCTTCTTTGTTTTTGATAACATATAGGCATATAGGGAATGATTTATGGGGATAATAAATGTCACGTTATTTTGGACCTCCAAGGTCAAATGAGGTCAAAATTCCCATAAAATCTCTTTTATCTTTAAAACTATACTTAAAATCCTACTGCCTTTGTTTTATGATACTCATATATGGTAAATAAATGGTAAATGGCCTGTATTTATATAGCGCTTTACTAGTCCCTAAGGACCCCAAAGCGCTTTACATATCCAGTCATCCACCCATTCACACACACATTCACACACTGGTGATGGCAGCTACATTGTAGCCACAGCCACCCTGGGGCGCACTGACAGAGGCGAGGCTGCCGGACACTGGCGCCACCGGGCCCTCTGACCACCACCAGGGTGGGGATTATAAACATAGCATTATAGTTTGCTGCCAAATATCATGTCACGTTTAGCCTCTGACTTCACTTTCCTATTTCACGTCTGCTTTTCTTTCAAGTTGACCCCAAAATGTGTTATACATCTAAAGAAAGTATAGTATTCAAGCAGGGCTTTTTTGAAACAGTCGTGTCAATCTTTTTGCAGGGCACTGGAAAATGATCAGAGTTTTCATGTAAGCACTTGTGTTATATTCTTGCTTGGCACCGTGGTGGAAAAGTTATCATAATGACCAAGCACAAAAAAAAAGAAGTGAGGCAGAAATTCAGTACGTGCTAGGATTTTATCACATTGAGGAACAACAGCAGCTCAGGTGGTGCTGCAGGTTGTCCTTGACACAGATCTCATCCTGATGTTCAGGTCAGCTCCTTGCACAGTTGCCATGTGTGTGAGTGGTTGAAACTGTAAAGTGTTCCTGCTGTTATGTTGATAGATAGATGTGCTAACGTGAAATCGGCCCCATTTGCTAGTCGCACATAATAAGAACACATATTTTCCTTGCTGCATTTTGTCCCTTTGCTGTCCAATAGTCAGTAAAAGTGCATGCATCCACTGAAGGATACAGTAGAATTTTTAGTGCCATCTGGTTACTGGTTCTTTAAACGTGTTTCACTTTCCTCAGTCGCTAACTTGGTCTGATTTTCTGAACTGTACAGTAAATGTGCTGTAAAGCTTAAAAGGCAAAAGACAGTCATTTATCCGTTGCTCGTAACAAATTGCAAAAAAATGCAACTTTCTCCTTAAAAGGCAACACAATGTTCAGCCATCCTCCCAGAAATTTGATAGTTTTACAGCTTTATAAATTAGCTGCCTTTTACATGACCACTTGAAAGCACACTTTTCTCTCAGATATAAATCTGAGGCAAGGTTACAGTTTTGATCTGTCTTTTTTTTGTCTTCTTTATAATGAACAAACACTGCAGCATAAAAACCACCATTTCTAAGCCCGTGTGAATGGTGAGCGTGAGTAGTCCCTCCCAGAACTGTTAACGCATCTTGTAAAGATAGTCAGGGGAGCTTTTTGTAGCGTGTAATGCTTTTACAACATCACAAAAACCGCAGGATTTCAAAGGCTTTTCTGTGGCTGTGCTATTCGGGTCACAGAGGGGGGAAAACACAAAAAACTGAACTAATATATTTTTGGTTTCTCTTTCTAGCCTTCTGTGAGGAGGGATGCCGAAGCGGCGGGACCTGTGTGTCTCCCAACACGTGTGTCTGTCCCTCGGGATTCACGGGACACTGCTGTGAGACAGGTAAGACCTGAGGACATCACCTGACCCCACACCTCTCATCTGTCCAGTTTGTTCAGCCGTCTGTCCCAATTAAAATCTGACACGAGCATCACGTTGTTTTTATTGACTTTCAGGAATGACATCGGCAGGATGGTCATTAGATGTTTTCTTTTCCTACTTCACTCTACACACACACACACACCTACACACACCTACACACACACACACATTTTCATGCTCTGGCTTTAAAGTGTTGTTTAAATTGGACACTGCAGAGATTGAAGCTCCCAAGAGAGTCATAGAAAGAGTCAGCTAATTGTTCCCTACCTTCCTCTTCTCCTTCCTTCCACCTTCTTCCTTTCTCCCTCTCCTTTTTCACTCTCCCCATCATTTCCCCCAGTTGTCCTTCCTCCTTTCTTTTCTTTCTTTTCATTTTCTCCTCCTTTGTCTTCTAACTTCTCTCGTTTCTCCTTCCTTATGTCTTTTTCCAGTTTTATAAGCTACTTCTCTTTACCTCTTTTGCTTCCTTTCATCCTCTGCCCTCCTTCCCTGACCTCTTCTTGGCTCTCCTCTGCTTGCTCATTTTCTCCTTTCCTCCTCCACCCTTGTCCTTGTCTTTCTTTTTACCCCCCCCCCCCCTTTCCATTTTCTCCCCAGATTCTGTTCTTGCTTTCCCCTTGTTCTTTTTATTCCTATTAGCTTACTCCTTTACCTCTCTTGTCCATCTATCTCTACTTACACAACCTCTGTCTTCCTCTCGCTCCTGTCCCATCCTCCCCTATGCCATTAAACCTCCCGTCTCTGTGGTCTAATTTCGCTGAAGTGATCAACCTGCTCACATGGAGCACAGGAGTCACGGGTCAGCTATTTGTAGCATGTTGCCATGGTTTCTCTTTAGATAGGTCAGACAAAACCTTCATATTTTTACATATTGAATACATCATTTGTGCTGCTGTCAGTCAGCCTCCTAATATGTAAGTGTAATGCAGAGGAAGATTCTCTTTGCTGTTTTATTTTGTGTGTGTGTTATCTTCATCACACATTTTAGACCAGCACCAGTGTCTTGAAATTAAATCCACACTGTGCATATTGAACTGATCAGACTTAATTAGGCTGTATAGCACATCTTCATTAGGAGGGAAAAATCTATGGGCATGATAATTTAACTCATTCCAAGTCTGATCTCAGAAAGCAGCCTAACTCTGAAGGCTCCAAACTGTAGTCAGCTACTCATGAGGATAACCAATCAATTAAAAATAAAAGTTTCAAGACCAGACAAGAAAGAAAGGTATCGTGCTTGAAATCATGAAAGACAGAGACACTATTGGTTTGATTTCAAATGTTCATAAGGCTTAATTTGTTTCCTGCACTGGGTCTCCCCTGGTGACGACCAGTCTGCTGTTTCCAGCTTAAAAATCGATCCCATGTTCTTTTAGGACACGTCTCTCCCTGCGATGCTCTGATCCAGAGTATACCCTTACTGTTTGGTCAAACATCATTCTCAGATACTCCCTGAAGATTGTGAATCAAATGAAAAAAACAAAACAAAAAACATACACTTTATGAGCCAAATGTCTCAGTACACACCTGTGTAGCATCCAATCATTTGTTCAAACAAGAGGAGGCAAGACGTGTTTCCAGGTTTAGAGAGAAAGGGGACTGTGCTGTGTCATACATCTATACGCTGTACCACAGCTTAAAGTCTGGACCTCATTAAACATGTAAGGCAGGCTTAAATTTCTACATGCAGATACAGATACTCGGGTTGCAAAGACACCGGAAGGTAAGTTACACAAAAGAGAGACATCACTGCGTGACACAGACTGATCCTCCACTTTTTTCTCTCAAATTCATAACAATCATGAATCTACTAAAAGAATAACTTCCATCTCTATGACCTAACCACAGATCTGAAAAGGAATGTAAACGGAAATTCAAATAATATTGCCTGCAACATGTTTTTTATCAGCTCTGATTTCGATGTTACATAAAATTACTGAAATATAAATTTCCACATTTAATCCATCGTCTGCTATAAGAGCACAGAATGGCTTTAAGAGCATATGGAAGTAGCTGGGCACACATTCGATGATATGCAGAAATGGACAACTGGTTAATGGGATGAAAGGTCTTGCAGGTCCGAAATGCCGAAACATGATTTATTTTCACTACATTTTAGTGTATTGACCATGAATAATTTTGTCTCTATAATATTGAACTTTACTCAGTTTCTCTATGGACTCTATTATATTCAATTGTTAATCAAATCAGTGTTTTTAATTTAGTTTCATTCATCAGTGGTATGAAGAAAACAGTTTGATTGTTAAGGTATATCATTATGAATTGTTTGAAACATGCAATTTTTCTATGTAGAGTCATTTAAATGTTCTATTGGAGGTGCACGTGAGAAGGCTTTTCTTTTTGGGGGGGATAGCATTCAGGAGGTAGGACATAGGACGGCCGCTCGTGCGATGCAAATTACTTGCAGTGTTCTGAAATAGGCACAAATCAACACAATTAGACATCACACAGACGTTGTACTGGGGGGCTGGCAGGTTAAAGACTGTTTAACTCTTTTCCCCATAAAGACATTTGACAACAATGCTAATGAGCGTCCAAGGGGGAAAGTGTTTAACGGTCTTTAACCTGCCAGCTCCCCAGGACAAAGTCTGTGTGATGTCTAACAGTGCTGATTTGTGCCTGTGTGAAAACAGTGCAGGTAATTTGCAGCTCGCCAGTGGTCGTCCTTTAAGTTTTAGTTAATTCTGCGTATAGTATTCATATTAAGAAAACATGAACAAATGCAAAGTCCATTGAAAGTACTATCCCTGAAGATCCTTGCACTCCATGTGCAATATATAAAGACAGTATGAAATAATCTTAGATTTCATGTACATACTGTACCCGAACAGGAAGCGGTAGAAAAAAAGGGAAAAGCTTTGCTCTCATTTGGAACAAATTCTTCTTGCTTTTATTGACTAAGGTGGTTGCTGGATTGTGTGACTTTAGAATTGAGTGCATAACAATGTTTGTTCTATCTAAAAGGTTTGGGGAAAAAAGACTCATCTTTTTATAATAAGGACAGTTCTCTACCAGCAGGTTATAAAAACCTGGCAGTCCTTTGAATGTTTTTTATGTTTTGTTTTTTTTTTCTCACCAGCCTCAGCTGTGTGGGTGTAAAGTTTGCTTCGTCCCAGTTTCGGCCTTTTGAGTCTCTAGCTTTGTGCTACATATTTGTCATGTTCCATCACTGGCACTGGCCTGTGGTGTTCTCTGAGCTTAAAGAGTCAGTCCATCTTTAACTTGAATTTTTTGACTTTGTGTTCATGTCATTCATCCTTAAATTTTTACAAATGCATTTTGAAATAAAATACCTTCGTCTATGCCCAAATTTCTCTCCTTTATAGAGCCGAAGACTGAAGTCAGTGTAGTTTTGATTCACTGCTCCTTCTTCTGGAATTCGTTTGATTAAAATTATTAAATTAACCCTTGCTGCTTTTGCATCAGGAGATATATTCCAGATTTTATCGCATTTTTAGTCACATTTTTTCTTATAATTTACTCCTCTCACAGCCAAATCTTCAGCTTCAGATTTTCATCTTCAGTGAGTTAACGGCAAACAAAGTCACCACCTGTCTCATTTAAATTATTAACTTATTTTCCAACCCCTTAAATTTGTAGCTAAGGAGGAAAAAAAAATCATATGATTTCCTGTAATTCTTGGCTCTGAAGATTTGAATCATTGATCTGGTAATCGGCAGTCATTAGCATGCAGGGCATGTTTTGAAAGGCAATCAGGCAGAAACTAATTAACTCCCCTATTAACAGCATCAAATATCTATCAGTTAATTAACGTGGCAGTGAAGCTTCACAGCCGTGTTCTCCAAGAATGCAATATTATATGCAATAATATACAGTATCTCACAAAAGTGAGTACACCCCTCACATTTTTTAAAATATTTTGATCTTTTCATGGGACAACACTGAAGATATGACACTTTGATACAATGTAGTTAGTATACAGCTTGTATAACAGTGTAAATTTGCTGTCACCTTAAAATAGCTCAACATACAGCCATTACTGTCTAAACCATTGGAAACAAAAGTGAGTACTCCCCTAAGTGAAAATGTCCAAATTGTGCCCAAAGTGTCAATTTTTTTTTTAATTCAATTTAATTCAATTTTATTTATATAGCGCCAAATCACAACAACAGTTGCCTCAAGGTATTTTATATTGTAAGGTAGACCCTACAGTAATGTTTGGCAACAATTATTTTCCAACACTGCCTTAACTTTGTTGGCCATGGAGTTCACTAGAGCTTTACAGGGTGACACTGCAGTCCTCTTCCACTCCTCCATGATGACATCATGGAGCTGGTGGATGTTAGAGCCCTTGCACTCCTCCACCTTCCATTTGAGGATGCCCCACAGATGCTCAATAGGGTTTAAGTCTGGAGACATGCTTGGCCAGTCAAGTACCTTTACCCTCAGTTTATTTAGCAAGGCACTGGTTTTTTTGGAGGTGTGTTTGGGGTTGTTATCATGTTGGAGTACTGTCCTTTGGCCTAGTTTCTTCAGAATGTCACAGACAGTGTTGGCCAAGTTACCTGAAAAAGGTAATTAGTTACTTTATTACTTAGTTGCTTAGTTACTTTTTTAAAAACTTTTTTTAAACATTTAATATTAACATTGGAGCACGTTTGTGCAAAGGCTGTCTGCCTTTCCAGTATTCAGCTTTCAAGAACTACATCTTACTTGACAAAATCTCCTTTTGTGAAGCAGTGTTTGCAGCGTCTGAAGCTCATTATTATCTCTGAATCCATTTTTTATAAGAGAAATATTCCGAGTTGAAACTCCGGCTGAAGTTGAATCGGTAAACATTTGAAGAAGCTCTTAAAGTCTAAGTGCTGAAAGGCTGTGAAATTAATCTTCCATGTGAAGACACCTTAAATGTAAATGACAAGAGGAGTGAGAAGTGTCGGCTGCAATCTCGCTGTTCAGAATGAGTGAAGTATTTTCTG